TTGAAGTGTGATTATCAATTCTTAGAGTAGAAATCAGACTTCTTATTTGTTCGGATTAAATAATCTTGCAGCTCCAAAGTTTCATGATTTTTTGTTTATTTTTTTCACTTTTTTTTATATTGTTGATTGATTCAATACTTTAGTATATATTTTTTTAGATTTGGTTACTTAGAATCTCTGCAACAAAATATGAATCTGAATATGAAAAGTTTAAAAAGAAAATAAATATAGAAAAACTTAAAATATTGATTATAACTTAATTGATTTATTGGTAGAAAAATATCTCATTAGAAAAAGTAATTTAACTTTTCTAAAAAATGAAAATTCTAGACAAATTTCTATTATTGATTATATTAAAAAAATTATCCGCAAAAAACATATAGAAATTGGCTAGTTTAGATTTTAGTAAAGTTTATAGTTTTTGTAGTAGTTATTTGGTAGTAAATCTAATACAAAATTAGGGAATGAATGAGTTAAATATTGGAAAAAATCTTAGTTATTAGTTTAGAAATCATGAGTATAGTAATGAAAACATAAATGATTTACAAATTAGATTTAAAAAAAAAAAACAACTTACAACCATATTCAAGAATTAATTAATAAAGAAAAAGATATCGAAAAAAATATAAATATGAATTATGTTGTTGTTAAAAATCCGCTATAAGACCTCCCGGTAAAAGTTTTGTCTAAGGCCCCAATCTATCTCGAGCCGCCCCTAATTGTAGTGCTCCAAGGATTCAAACCAGAATTTGGAATATGCATATGACACTGAGTAAAGAAGGGGTATATGAATGAACTGACACCACATTCTAATGAGAAAGATCTTGATCATGCAAGCATGATTAAGAAAGACTTAAAACAAATTAATAGAAACTACCTATACTAACGATGTGCATATTTCTTTTCGATGGATAAAACATAAGAATTCTAGAATTAAGCGTGTTTGACTTCAGGACTAAGCTATATTTGTAGTTACCTCAACTCTCAAAGTTTTAATCTTATTTGTTGCATAAACTTTCAAAATTACCCTTAATCCATAAATTATTGAAATTTCTATTTGTCTTTCAATTTTCAACGTCCTTTTTTTTATTTTAGCAATAATTAGGTCATATTTTAAAATCCAATATTCATGTCATCCAATACCTATGTCAACCTAGCCTATATGACTTCAATAAATTGTTCATATTTATTACGTTAATAGGAAAATTTCATTCACTATCTACCCCATCAACATTGTATTCATGATGCGGGTTCATTAAAATTAAAGAATTATTTATAAACACAAAATTATAATGTGAACAAAGGGAGCGGTAGGTACTCGAGATTTTCTCTATGTTAATATATTCATCTTAAAACCCACATTATCAATATTTTAAATAGTTGATGATAAAATATGTGACACCCAAATAAAGAAGAGAGGTATATGAATAAACCAATACTACGTCCGAATAAGAGAGATCCTGAAATAATAGAAGTATGGTTAAGAAAGACTTACAAGAATTGATAGTAAGTAACTATACCAACAAGGTCCACCTTCATTTTTTATGACTTAATCATAAAAACTCCAAAGTTAAATGTAGGATTCGTGTTGGTCGGTAAGGATAGTTTTCACTCTTCTAAGTAGCTCAAATAAATACAGTGATATAGCCAAATTGCATGGAATCCCAGAACAATTAGGTTCCAAATTCGAATTTCAAATCTTGGTCCGAATATTAGGCTGAGGGCGTAATTAGAGACTAAACATAAACATTTTGAGAACAAAGGATACCTTTTAATTTAGCAACAATTAGTTCATATCTAAAATTCAATATTTGTGCTAAGCAAAACGTTAGGTGTATGTGGCTTCAATAAATTGTTCATAATAGTATGTTAATAGGAATTTTTTTCTGATACAACGAGAGTATATGGATAGTCCTTTCATTCGTTGTTTGCCACGTCAACATTATATTTGTGATGTAGGGCCTAATTAAATTAAAGGATGATTTAATAAAGACAAAACCAAATTGTGAACAAAAGGAGTAGGTACTTTCCTATTACTAGAAATTTTCCTTTTTATTTTTTGCAAAGGTAAATATGTTAAAAAATAAAATAAAAGGAGGATCTCACACGTTGGAGATTAAGGCACAACACCCAAGGCAGACACAAGACAAGAAGAATGAAAAGTAAATCATGAAAACAAATCCAAGGTCGAGAAAATCATAGGATTAGAATTCAAACAGAAGATCCCAAGCAGGTAATACAACGATAATAGACCTCAGGCGAGTAAAAGGATAGAAGGCAACCGACCCACCCGATCCACATGAACTCTAGCATTACGATCCAACTAGATAAAAGAAACAACTGAAGTCCACACCAATCACTGCATACGATGATGACAAACTTCCTGACATTAATGTGACAAACCCAAGCTTAGTAGACCAATATGAAACTCGGTGAGAAGAATCAACCCAATCAATTATACCAGACTAGACCTCTCAACTAAAGGGGCACTCGAAGAATAGATGATCTCGGGACTCCATGCTAGCACAAACACACATAGGAAGCAGGGACGTTGGAGTTTCAACGACGATCCCTTATAGCAAGCCAATCACGCACCGCCAACCAAGCAATGAAAGAGTGCTTTAAAATGTTCTCACCGAACCAAACCAAAGAAAACCAAGGAACAAGAGGTCGGGTCGGCCTCAACACACCCCACACATTTGACACCGAGAACAGACCCGACGGTGCTGGAATCCAAATGGGCACATCAACCCTCCCAACAAAAACTTGCACAGATGAAATCTCAGAGACCAGCTTCCGAAGATCATCCGATCCTGAGCCCAACAGCATTAACCATCAAGAAATAGAAAATAAGCAACTTCGCCCGGGACAAGCTTACAACTTCATATATAATTCGATCACCAAACTTCGGATAAATCGAACCTATCCATCTTCAAAGCTACATCATTCCTATGTTAAATAGCTGATGACAAAACCACGACAACAACTAGAACTATTATTAAAAAAAAGTCTTAGACTAACAAGTAAACCTTAAAGTTAAAAACAAACCAAAAGTTCTAAGTACAAAAATAAAATTCAAGTCCAAATAAATAAATCTTCGTAAAATAAAATATATCTTTTTCATTTAATTAAACAATTATGGAGATGAATGAAACTATCAACTTTTGAGACGGTAACAGATAAGGGTATGAAATAGTAAGATTCACATTAATCACCATTAAAGCAAATAAATAACTATATATATATAAATATATATTTTTTTGACGGAGAATTAAAAAAGAAATATTGAGTGTTGAGAATTGTTTGTCACAAATAGCAAAGGGCACTAAGTGTCTGAAATAGTCAGATTCACATTAATAAAAATTAAAGCAAATAATAATTAAAAAAAATATTGAGTGTTGAGAAATGTTTATCATAAATTTATTTAAACAAAAAAAAAAAATTGCTGAAGTGTCCATAGGACGACTTGGAATTAAACAAAGTCCACAATGATACAGCCA